TCATGCCAACAAATGGCAGGCTTGGTTGTTTTTTAATTCTTAAAATAAATAAATAAATAAATAAATAAATTAATTTGCATGAGTAAACACAGATGTTTCTGTTCTCTGCTGGTGTAAATCGAAATTGCCCCACTGACACCAGTGGAGGTGTGCTAATTTACACCAGCTGGAAATTTGTCCCAATTATTAAAGGACCTGAGCCTTTTGGCAAACACTCAATGGGCACGATAGAATTGTGAAGTTACCTCTTAGGGCACTTCAGCAGTAAATTACATTTTATACAGAAACTTCAACTATCTGAATGTAAAACCTTCCCAGACTAACTGGTAAATTAGTTGGTCTGTCAGATGCATGCTATCTGCTACACCACTTGCAGATGTTCAGTCCAGTGTGAGATTTCCTTGGTGCAACTCCCTGTAACAAGAACATATTTATCACACTTCTAGCTGTCTAACCTTTAACACTCCTCAGATGGAAGGTACTTCTTTTAAAGAAATCTAAACTATGCTATTATTTTTTTGTTGAGGTTTGGTGTCATCTGCAGCTTTGGCAGTTTACAACATTATTGTTCATAGTGGAATTTGTGTTCTGCTTCTTTTAAGGCTACATCTTCTGGAGTTATGAAAATATGTCAGAATATGTGCTTAACTTCTTAAATTATAGATGTCTTTCTAGCATGCCTCAGAAAGTAAATGTCCTGAATGGACATGGAAAATCCAAAAACACTTTTTAAGAAACTTCCCCCCAAAATTTCCTCTTTCATCTTGCTGTACTTACAACAATCTCATTATTTTGGAGCATCTTTCTTATTGTTTGATTTGTTACTTCAGCAGCACTGCAGTAATGCCGGGTTTTTTGGTTTTTTTCATAAAATTATAATAGCACCTTGTGCCCAAAAAATCATCACAGAACCTGGTGAGATTTCAGATTGAGTGGAGCAGCCACAAATGCATTGGAAGGATCATGTACATCTAAATAGATGATTGTGAAACAAATAAAGGTTTAAAGGATGTGAAAGGGACAAAGAAGGTCTGAATTTTGTTCTCAATTATGCCACAATCACCCTTGTTCTCATTTTGTTTCCCTTTCTCTGGCCAAAAATTTAAAAAAGCAACATTTCTTCATTGGTGTTAATTTGTCCAATTTTGGGGAATCTTCCAGAATGGGGTCAGTCATACTAAGTGTCATAATAACTGTAAGAAATATATAAGAGCTCTGTAACCTTAAAAAAAAATAAATAAAAAAAATGTTACTCTCCATGTTTTAGGACATAAACCTTTAATTCTCATCATTCTCATCATTGGGTAACCAACCTGTCCTCTACTGTTGCTAGAGCAAATTCTGTATCCAGGTAGAGTTCTCCAGTAGTCAGCTTAAACTACAGGAATACTTGGTTAGTAGCTTTTTTACTGCTTGGAAAAATAATAATAATAATTAAAAAAAAAAAAAAAAAAAAAAGTTCTGCTCTTACTGAGCAGTATTTATTTTAGAGATGGGCCAGCTGCAAACAGCAAGACTATTTATGATGCATCCATTATTTTCAATGAGGGTGGTGGAATCTAGATCAGGAGAGAGTGCTTATGAAGATTACCAAAAAAAAAAAAAAAAAAAAAAAAAAAAAGGCAGACAAATAAAAACCCACAACAGGTTTATTTCTTGATTTCAGTAATCAGTGCAGTGTGATGAGCTAACAGTCTGAAGAAAAACCTTGGATAGATTATAGAGATTTTTCTGTTACACTTCTATCTTTCTACCAGCGTAGTCCTGTTGTAGTAGAGATGCATTTTATTTTGTTTCATTCCACCTTCTGGAGAAGGACCCAATCTCTACTTGCATTTCCCTCAGAAACAACAGAAGAGAGGAAGTGACAGTATTGTTTTCATTCCCTCTTCCTTCCTGGGCATATACAAACAGTCTAGAGGTTTTCTTCCGAATTACCCTTGGACTAGAGGGAATTTGACTTGGCAATATATTTTCTGTTGCATAGTGTTATACCACAGCTAATCAGCAACTAGCAACCATGTTGAAAGAACTATCTCCCATTGATTATTCTGGCCCAGCCTCAGGCAAACTGTAGTAATAGGAGCCAACTTCTTTAACCATATTTTGAAATATATATGTATATTTTTATGAAGTCAAACATCTCAGAATGTTCTCAAGTGCTTTTTTTCAAGTGCTTCAGAAATTCTGCCTATGAAATAATTCCTACTTTGATAAATTAAGCATCTTCACAAAAATCAGATCCCTGTTTTCCAGTGGTGGACAATGCTGAATGTGAATGCTTTAATATCTTATTCCTCAATTGTATGGGGAGGTTTCCTGGTGGTGCTGTCACCTGCTCAATTGCATGCGCAGGTATTACAGAGCATGAGCTGTTCCTACTCTCATTACTTCATATAAATGTCACTGAATTTTGAGAATAGGTTGGTGATGAAGAGGTCTCCTTGAGAGATTCATATGAGCTTGGAAACAGGCTTATGTCTTTAAACATATCTTCCAACTATGTTATGAATGTAAACATATATTTTAATGGATTTTCTAAACAAAATGTGATGAACATCCAGATTTTAACACTAGACATCAGTGATTTGAGAACTCAAGTTTCTTCACAGCCTTATTAAAGTGAATTCTAGCATATATATTTTAGCTACCTGTTTCTGAAAACCAATTGCATCTTACAGTAGCCACCTGCTTGAACCTTCTGCTTCTACCTGCTTTGTTTCCTTCTGAAATATCCAATGGCAGTTCTAGTGACTACCAAGCAAGGAATGACAAAGATTAACATGTGTCCTGCTGAGGCACATTCCCTTTCAGGAAATCTATCTTCAGGTCCTCTGCCCTGAGATGCAGCTGCACCACAGGGCATGGAGCTCTTCTTTGTGCTTGTCACCTCAGGATGTTCAGATATGTTACCTTTCCTCACAGCAGGGCACCTCACCGAGGTTTCACAGCTGGGTTTGGGGTAATTCTCCTCTAGCTGTTTTACGTGTTTGTAAGGCATCCTTCAAAGCACAGACAAACTGCTCTTGTTTTGCTTTTGTTTTCACAGTGGCATGTGCTAGCAGTCATCTCTTTTCCTGCAAAGCCCTATTATGTTTTACACCCCTTTGCTGCAGGTTTGCTAAGGATTTCCTCACAAAACCTTGTAGGAACAAGCAGGTTTGAAGGTAGAGCTCCACTTCAGACTGCTACTACTTCATTACAACCAGCCCTCATTGCAAAGGTGTTTAAACTCGGTCACAAAACACATGCCTAGCTCTGATGCATTGTCTTTCTTCCCACTTAATTAGCCTTAAGCAAACTAGTAATAGGTATCAAGTAAATCCCCTAACAAGCACAAGGTGATATGTTTGAGAGAGCTCTCTCTGAGCTTTGGTAAGGAGCTGTGGCCTCTTTCAACCCATTTGAGTCCTTGCCATCTCTCAGAACTGCAAAGCAGAGTGTGCCAGAGGGTTTAGATTAAAAAGGAGGGCAGCTTCGAGGCACAGTGGTAGCAAACATGTCCTAGAGGGCCTTGAACTGTTGGAAAAGTGGGGAAGGTTGAGAGTAAGGAACAGGAAATTCTGAGAGCCTGGATCCTGTGAGCAGACAAGGGGTATGCAGGACCTCATAGGACTTCAGGCGGTTCAGAGAATCACTTAAACTTTTGGCTGTTCACTTGAAACTTGCTTCTGCTGATATCACTGGCATCACTTCTGTGCTCCCTCGTCTAGCTACAAAATATCATGTTGTTCTTGTAGACATAATTATCTAATTGTTATTTGAATCCTCCTAAACCCTTTCGCTGTTCGTTTAGCAAGTTACCAGTGAGGCTAATGACATCAAGAAAATTGCTCTGAAAGGAGTTGCCTGTGTACTGTGATGTATCATAAATATAGATGAATGCAAAGTAAGATGCTAGGCATGAAATGCAAATGAGCGGGGAATGAGATTCAGTTGTTCACCAGAGATTCAGCGCTTGATGGAGAAGCCTCTGTAGGGCTACCAAGCAAAAAACAGGCTTATGTTTCAACTCCCCAGCTGCTGCTGAGTGGGGACCACAACCTGTCATAGAGCACTAATTGAACAGGATGCTGCTGGAAGGAAATATGTGTCACTGCCAGTCCCCCAGTGGAAAGCCATAAGGCAGATTCATTGAGGAGCAACACACAAAGAACAGCTTGGGCCAAAAATGTAGCCTTGAATGCAAAAAAGTGAGGAGGGCAAGCAGCCACGGGAGAGCTCTCCTGTGGCTGAGAGAAGTAAAAGGTTAAAATGCCCCCAAGATTTAAATGGTCTCTGAGACAAAAGCAGCAGAAAGACCACTGAAGGGGATAAACAGCTGTCTTGAGAGGCAATAACTAGGTACAGAATCACAGAATCACTGAATCGGCATGGCTGGAAAAGACCTCTGAGATCACTGAGTCCAACCATCTACCCAAGTGAAAGGAAAAAATAAAATAAAAGAAGATGACACAAAACAGCAATCCCATAGTCCAGAAAGCCAACGGCACAGAACCCCAACCTGAGCAGCACCTCTTGGCCAGCAGTGGCACCCTTGATGGCTGCCCCAATGGAGCTGGCCTCAAACTCAGCACTTGCAAAAGCAGTTACCCTGGTTGTGTGGGTTCCAAGGGCTCAGCTCCCATCTCAGCACTTCACAACCTCCCCTGTGAGGTGGCAGACAGGTGGCCAAGGGGGTCCCTGCCTGTGTCTGAGATGCATGGGGCTGATGTCATAATGTCCATCACATAATGTCCAAATAGAAAAGAGATGTGTGACCTGGTGATGTGAGCAGAGAACAGGGGAGGGACAGGGCTAGTGCAGGACTGCTGAGGGAGGAGGGGGACCCCACAGCTCAGGGCTCTGGGCCAGTGCTGCAAGCACACCTGCTGCTCCCTCAGATTCACCACGGGAGCACTTGGAGGAGTGTTCAGACTTCCTTGTTAGCTCCTCTACAAGGAGCCACCCCAGCACTGCTGGGCCCGTGAACTTCCAAACACTCATCGTGGATGTGCACCATGTCCGTGAGCATGGAGAAAGGTGAGAGCAAAGCGTTGCTCCTGCTTGCAGTGCCTCCTTTTCTCCAAGGCCCCCAGGCCAGCTGGGAAGGAACATTGCAGGCATGTCCCACATTGCAGACAGGG